TGAAGAGTGGGGAGGGAGAGGGAGAGTGGGGAGGGAGAGGGAGAGTGGGGAGGGAGAGTGAGAGTGGGGAGGGGGAGGGAGAGGGAGAGCGGGAGTGCGTAAGAAGAGGGGGACGGGTAATGGCGAGGGAGGGGGTTGAGGAAGGAGAGGGGTAAGAGGGAGAGGGAGAGAGAGGGGGGTGAGGTAAAGGAGGGAAAGGGGGAGGGAAAGGGAGAGGGAGAGGGAGAGGGAGAGGGAGAGGGAGAGGGAGGGGAGGGGGAGGGGAGGGGGGAGAATGAAAGCAACATTCCTACACAAACAAACTAATCTTTTACGACCATATAACTGCGCGGGGGCACGTGCTTTTTAGAAAGGGGGAGAGGGGAGGGGAGGGAAGAGGGGAGGGGAGGGGAGGGGAGGGGAGAGGAGGGGAGGGAGAAGAGGTGGGGGTAAACGAGAAACTACCTTTCTGATTCTACAAGCCTCCCGCCCATCAACTCTCCTCCTAACCCATATTCTTCCCGATTTCCTCCCACTCTCCCTCCCTCCCCCCCTCCCCGTCCCCCTACTCCTTCCCTTCATCTCCCCTTTCCCCCTCCTCTACTCCCCCCCCCGAGCAGCACTTTCGAGGGAAAAGGGAAACAGACAAACAAGCCAAACAGCTACATCCGGGGCTTAAAGGTACAGTCTGTACCAGCCATGAGCTCGAGGGAGAGACTCCTGCCCGGTTTCTTTCCCTCCCTCGCGCCAAATGCGGTGTGGAAGTGCTTTCCTTCTTTCTTTTTCTTTCCTTCACTCCCTCTCTATTTTCTCTTTCTTTCTGTCTTTCTTTCTTTCTTTTTCTTTCTTTCTTTCTTTCTGTCTGCCTCTGCTTCTGCCTGCCCACCTGTGCCTGCCTGACGCCTGCCTGCCTGTCTGCTTGCCCCCCCTCTCTCTCTCTCTCCCTCCCTCTCCTTCTCTCTCCCCCCCTCTCCCTCTCCCCCCCTCCCTCTCCTTCTCTTTCCCCCCCTCTCCCTCTCCCCCCCTCCCTCTCCCTTTCTCTCCCTCTCCCTCCCTCCCCCTCCCCCCTCCCGTCTGAAAAGCGAGGGACATGCATAAATTTCTCGGCAGTTCCCTTTTTTTCTCTCTCTCCTTCCCCAGTTAAGCCAATCTTTCTCTTCGTCGTATTTCTATTTTCAGGTTCCTTCCCCTCATGTTTCTTTTAATTTCTTTTTTCTTCATTTGCTCGCACTTCTCCCCTTCTGCTCAACCCTGCTCCTTCTTCCTCTTCCCTCCATCTACTCCTTCACACCTTTCCTAGTTTCTTACTCTATCCCTCTCCTTCTTCCTCCTCTATTCCTCTCTCTCCTTCCCTTTCCTCCCATCCTCTGCATCTCCACCTCCTCCTCCTCTTCCACACCTTCCTCCTCCATCCCTCCCCCTCTCTCCACTTTCTCATTCTTACCTTCCATTTTATCTAGCACCTCTTCCCCCTCCACCTCCACCTCCCCCTCCTCTCCCTGCCCCATATTCACCCCCTCTCCCCCTCCCCCCCCCCTATGCTAATCCAGCGTGCCCCCTCCTGCAGCAGGCACAGGCCACGGCAGAAGGCGTTTCCTCGCGCGGCGCCTCAAAGCAGCCCCGTGCCTTAACAGCCGTCGCCCGGTCTGTCACACGTCCGGGCGAGAGCGAGGTCGGGCGCCTGCCACTCGGGCACGATGACATCTTGCATTTTCGAAGTTTCCTTTGGTGGGAGGGGGAGAGGCGGAAGGAGGAGGGGAGGGAAGAAGATAGTGGGAGGACGGGAGCAGACAGAGAGAGAGAGAGAGAGAGAGAGAGAGAGAGAGAGAGAGAGAGAGAGAGAGAGAGAGGAGAGAGAGAGAGAGAGAGAGAGAGAGAGAGAGAGAGAGAGAGAGAGAGAGAGAGAGAGAGAGAGAGAGAGGAGAGAGAGAGAGAGAGAGAGAGAGAGAGAGAGAGAGAGAGAGAGAGAGAGAGAGAGGAGAGAGAGAGGGAGGGAGGGAGAGAGAGAGAGAGAGAGAGAGAGAGAGAGAGAGAGAGGAGAGAGAGAGAGAGAGAGAGAGAGAGGGAGGAGAGAGAGAGAGAGAGAGAGGAGAGAGAGAGAGAGAGAGAGAGAGGGAGAGGAGGGAGAGAGAGAGAGAGAGAGAGAGAGAGAGAGAGAGAGAGAGAGAGAGAGAGAGAGAGGAGAGAGAGAGAGAGAGAAAAAATATGAACGAATAAAACGAGAGAAATAAAAACAAATCGAGACGAAAATAGCCATCCGTCGCCCGCACAAGCGCCCCAAATAAACAAACGAGAGAGGCGCAAGAATGAAATAGCGGCATCCAGCCCTCGTAGATCAATCGCAGGGGCCGACACGCGAGAACACCAGCCCACTATCGGCCGGAGACGCCGAGCGGGAGGCGTCGGAGAACAACATCTTGATGGCCGACACACGCGCATCTCTCGGGCTCCTCGCTCGCCCAGGTCGCTCGCCTGCTTGCTCGCTCGCTCTTCTTTTTGTCTCTATTCTCGTTTATTTCGTTTATTCCTGTCTGTCTGTCTCTTTCTCGGTCTCGTTCTCCCTCATTCTCATCTCCCCCCCCCCTCTCTCTCTCTCTCTCTCTCTCTCTCTCTCTCTCTCTCTCTCTCTCTCTCTCTCTCTCTCTCTCTCTCTCTCTCTCTCCTCTCTCTGTCTCCCTTCCCCCGCCTCCTTTTCCTATTATCTCTCCACTTCTCCTCTCTCTCCCATTTTTCATTCCTCCCCGTTTCAGTCTGAAGTGCAGAGAGATTGCACGCGGGATAAATCACGCTGGGATGTTCCTTTTACAAGCACTCGTCTTGCCTCCCTTTTCTCCATTTCCACTCGCTCTCCTCCTATTCCTTTACTCACCCCTATCCTTCATTCCTTCCTCCCTTCCCTCCATCCTTCCTCCCCTTGTTCCTTCTTGCCCTCTCCTTTCCCTCCTTCCTTCCCTCCACTTCCTCACCTCTCCTCCATCCCCTCCCTCCTTCTTTCCTTTCTCCCTCCCCTCCCCTCCCTCCCTCTCCTTTCCCTCCTTCCTTCCCTCCGCTTCCTCCCCTCCCTTCCTTCCTCCTCCCTCCCTCCTTCCTCCCCTCCCTCCTTCCCTCCCCCCTGCCCCTGCCCGATCCACCGTGTAAGCTAAGCCCCCACGTCGAAGTAAATCTGTCCGAGGAGATCGCTCGGGCTTGCCTCATTCACTTCGCTCTCCATTCCGAAGGAGGGAGGGAAAAGAGGAGGGGGGAGCGGGGAGGGGATGGAGGAGGGGATGGAGGAGAGGAGGAGGAAGACGGGATTGGGGTGGTGGTGAAGTGAGGGGAGGAAGGAGGAGGGAGGAGGGGGAGAGGGAGGAGGAGGAGGAGGAGGAGGAGGAGGAGGAGGAGGAAGAGGAGGAGGAGGAGGAGAGAGGAAGTAGTAGAGGGTGAGTGAAGAGGAGGAGGAGGAATGTACGTAGAAGGATATGAGAGGAGAGAACAGAGGGATAGAGGAGAGAGGATATGGAGAGGGGAGGGATAGGGGAGGGATAGAGGAGGAGGAGGAGGAGGAGGTTGTTATCGCAGCCCTGCATGTCGTTCATTTATTTTATGTTCGCGGCGGAGATAAATCGGGGGCGAAGGCGGGTCCGGCGCGGCGTGCATGCGGCCACCTGACGCAGCCGGGAGATAGCCGCGTCGCCATCGCTTACCGCCGACGCCGCGCCCTCGCTGGGTGGGGGGGGGGGAGAGAGGAGGAAGAGGAAGAGGGAAGGAAGAGAAGGGGGAAGAGGAGGAGGGAGGGAAGAGAAGGGGGAGGAGGAGGGAGGGAAGAGAAGGGGGAAGAGGAGGAGAGAGGGAGGGGAGAGAAGGGGGGAAGAAAAGGAGGAGGGAGGGAAGAGAAGGGGGAAGAGGAGGGGGAAGAGGAGGAGGGAGGGAAGAAGGGGGAAGAGGAGGAGGGAGGGAAGAGAAGGGGGAAGAGGAGGAAGGAGGAAAGAGAAGGAGGAGGGAGGGAAGAGAAGGTTGATGATGATGAGGAGGTACGGAATGATGGTTAAAGAAGAAGAGAGTGAGGAGGAGTAGTTGGAAAGAGATAGGAGTAGGAGTAGACGAGGGAGGATGGGAGGGGGGTGCAGAATAAAGTAAACAAAACCAAAAAAAAAAAAGTTAAACGCTCGAGCTATCCCGGATAATAAAGTCGATACAAAAACACACTAAAAAAAAAGGGGGGGGGAATCCAAAGTTTCTATTTCCTCTCTCGGCCGACGCTCTCTTCTCACGGGAGAGACCTCAGCGCCTCGTCCCGCGGTAACGAAGCTCCCTTTCAAAACCACTTTCCCGCCATCCACCCGCGGTTTTCAGTCAAGTCCACGTCAACGAAACCCTCAGTTCTCAGTCCAGTCCACGTCCCCGCCAACCCAGTTCTCAGTCGAGTCGATGAAACCCGAGCACCGCCCCCCTCCGACAAGCCGCCTGCCTCTCCATCCTGTCGCGGAGCCGAGGCGTGTGAACAGCCCGACGGCGAACACGGCCGCGCGAGGACGAGCTCTCAAGACGTGGGAAATCTGGTTAAAATGTCGCCCACCTGTTGAGCGCCTCTGTTTGCCGAGCGTTTAACTCGAGTTCATGCACAGATCTTCCGCAAGGAGCAAGACGCGGGCGGCGGTGCTTACGGCGAGTGTGGGCGGGGGTGGGGTGGAGGTTGAAGTCTAAGTGGTGTGGGGGGTTGGGGTTGGGGTGGGGGTGGGAGTGGAGGAAGTGGTATGGAGTTTAGGTGATGGTGGTATGGGGTTGGGGTGGAGGTGGTATGGGAAGGTAAGAGTGAGGTTGGAAAGTGGAGAAGCAGAGGGGGGAGGGGTGGAAGGAGGGGCACCAGGCTTAAATAGCGATAAATAAACTGAAAACAATGATGCACCTGAACCCACATACCTCCCTTATCAAGATATCAGTAAGCCAGGGAAAATAGTCGCCTCAACAAACAGTCAAAAACAAGAAACAAGAAAACGAAAAGGTCCTTCGAAGACGAAAGGGAAACCCCGCCGGTGCCTTACCTTCTTGAGCGAGCCGGTGGTCGTCCCGAGGAAGAGGACGGTGTGGTGGGCGGTGGTGGCCGCCTGCACCGCCGACAGGCTGGTGTTGCGGTACAAGAGCGCCGCCCGCGAGTGGATCGGGGACACGCCCGAGATCTTGAGGCCGACCTCGCAGAAGTTGAAGATGTTGCCCATCGTCTGCAAAAGAGGAGAGAAAATTAATTAGTTTGGTGTCTTACTACATCGTTTCTTCTTTATTCACTTATCTAAATAGATGGAAACCGTCAACAGAGACGACGGATCAATCCATTCCGGAAAATTGGCCTGGCCCCTTTAATCTGGCCAAACAAAAGAGAAACGAGGTTCCGTCGCCACCATGCGGGCGCCGGGCCGGGCTTCCCACGACGCCATTATAAAAACAATAAGGTGTAATAAAATCAATCACGTGTAACCATAGCCAGGAAACGATAATGGGCCTGTTGAATCCGGCGGGCCTAGGCGCGCAGGCCCTAACGACGCCCCATCGATCACGCTAACTAGCGAACAGCCAATATCTGTCCCGGAGAACAAAGGCGCGGCCCCGGCGACACTCGTACGTCATCGCGACAACCGACAAGCAACTCGTGACCGAACGCGCCCTTCCTAATTAGCCGGCGCCTCGGATCGCCCGCCGCGAACGCCAGGCCAGGACCCGAGAAAGGCCTTCGTCTTCGCTCGCCAAAGGCCACGGCGTGCGAAGCGGGCGAAGGAGGAGGAGGAAAAGGAGGAGGAGGAGGAGGAGGAGGAGGAGGAGGAGGAGGAGGAGGAGGAGGAGGAGGAGGAGGAGGAGGAGGAGGAGGAGGAAAAGGAGGAGGAGGACGCCGGCCCGGCCGCTCCCCCGCCAGGATGGTAATGCCCGACACGTCACACCGCCGTCGGGACGCATAAGGATGGAGACGGTGCCTTTGCCCCTATGCCCCTGTGTACCCAAGTGCCCCTCCACCCCTCCCCTTCGCCCCTTCCCCTGGCCGCTCGCCCCATTACCCGCCCCGCCCCCCTTTTTCATCTCCCCTGGCCGCGACCCTATCTATGGCCACGAAAAAAAGGGTCCGGCGGCCCTTCACCCCTCCTGCATCGCTCCGACTCCGCCCCCTACATTCAGCGGCGCGTCAACGGCCCCCTCCCCTCCTGTCTCCGCCCACCGCCCGCCGGAGACGCCCCTACGCCCTTCCCCCACACCACCTGGAACACACGTCCTGTTGTCCGCCCTCTCCCGCACCGCCTCGCCGCGTCAAATTGCTCATGGCCAACACCTGATCGCCGGGCCATATTTGGCTGTTCATGGCCCCGGACCGCGCAGCACGCAAGGTAAGAGTGGCCATGGAGCTGGAGTGTTCATGAACAAACAGGAGACAAGCCCTGCTCTTTACCCAGCAAATATTAGCTCTCCTCCTTCATTGTCCAAACCAAACTGCAGCTGGGATCTAGCACCTCCTACCCCTCCTGCCCCCACCCCCACCTCCTGCCATCTCGTAGCCTACCGCCCACCCCCCCTTCCCCCCCGGCGCCTCCTCGGAGACATTTACTCGCACCAAGAGTTTAAATGTTGGCGCTCATCGGCCCGCACTCAAGGGGAGACTTCGCAAATCCTCCTTTTTCGCGGAAAGCACACACCGCGATCCCGCCATTAACAGAGCCTCCACAAAGAACGTTGCTTCGAGTGAGAGAGAGAGAGAGAGAGAGAGACAAAGAGAGAGAGAAAAAAGGCAAAATCACACACAGACAAAGATCTTCCAAAATCGTTGATTAATCGAGAAGCTTCGCACTCCCCGAGCCTCCCAGACTCCGGCGGCGGGCTGAACACTCCGTCACGTTCCGGCGCCTTCTCCAGCCGTCACCGTCACCTCACGCAAACACTCCGGCGGCACTCGCACTCGACGCACTCACACGCACTCAGCGCCGCCAAAGTAAATACATACCGTAAAGTACACAGGGCGCCTTGGCTTCATATTTCGCAGGCAAACACATACACGAGAGCACAATCATCATTTCCCTCTCACTCTCCCCTTCCAACGAACGTGTACACACATAAACGCATAGAAACATTTGTTTGTGGTTTGTTTGTGTTTGTGTTTGTGAGAGTGAGTGTATGTGAGTATGAGTAAGAGTATGAGAGTGGTGTGTGTGTGTGTGTGTGTGTGTGTGTGTGTGTGTGTGTGTGTGTGTGTGTGTGTGTGTGTGTGTGTGTGTGTGTGTGTGTGTGTGTGTGTGTGATATCATATACAAGAAACACAAATGCCAAGATCACCCACCAGGCACCTCCACTCACGCGTGGTTACAACGACAAAAAATGCCACGCGGTTCGACCCCGCGCCCACGAGCCGCCCACCGGCCGCGCGCCCACCACGCCGCTGGCGCTTCAGGTAAGGCGACGCCACAGCCCGAGCGGCGACGCGGCGCCCATGCCTATTCACCCATAAAACCTTATCCCTCTTAATCCGCCGATATCAATTAGGAAGTGCTCATATAAAAAGCCCGGTGCCGCGATAACCCCTTTTGACTCTTACGCCCTTCTATCGCAAGAGGTAAATTCCTCTGCGATCAACACCAAGAGGCCGAGTGATGGCATCTACATCCCTTTCCTTCCTTCTCCCCCTCCCAAGCCACTTCCCTTCTTCCTTCTCCCCCCCTGCTCTCCTTCGTCCCTTCTTTTTCTTCCTTCTACACCTCTTCTCCCAATCTTGTTCGCCCCCTTCATTTCTTTAGCCCACGTTTACTTCGCTCTTTCCCTCCTTTCTTCTCTCTCACCTCCTTCGTCCACCCCATCTCTTCTCCATCGTCCTCTCTCCCTCTTCCCACTTCCCCTCCTCCATCGTTCTTTCCCACCCTCTTTCCCTTCATCCATATTCCTCCTCTCCTTCCTCTCCCCTCTCCTTCCATTCCATCCCTCCCTCCCCTCTCTCACCTCTCCTTCCCTCCCCTCTCTCCCCTCCTCTTCCCTCCCCCTCTCCCCTCCCCTTCCCTCCCCCTCTCTCCTTCCCCTCCGTCCTCCCCTCTCCTCTCGTCCCCTCGCCGCCCCCCCACCAAGCACTCGAACCGCCAGAAGGGGTCCCACGAGAGAGAGAGGGGTAAGCAAATCTCCCCTCAAATGGTACTTGCTCTCGCCTAGGCCTATCAGAGGGGAGAGAGAAAGTTTTTGTAATTACCCTCTCCTTTCTCTCTTAATCTCTCTTTCTCCTCCCCCCTCCTCCCCATCCCCTCTTCTCCTTAACCCCCCCTCCCCCTCCCCTCCCTCCCCTACCCCAGATCTCCCCTGGGGCAACACTAAACAGGGGATTTAGGTAACAGAGAGAACTTTAAATTAGGATTCGGGGATTTATAAACTTTGTCCTGCGTGAGGGGAGGAGATGAGAGGGAAGGGAGTAAAGAAAGGGGGGGAAGAGGCAGATGAAAGAGCATGAAGAAGACGAAGAGGCAGAAGAAAACAATAAAGAGGATGGAAAATATAAAAGGAGAAGAGGAAGAGGAGAAAAACTGATAAGAAGACGACGAAATATTAAAGAAAAAAGGAAGGAGGAAAGAAGGAAAAGGAGAAAAGGGGGAGATACGAAAGAGAAAAAGAAAGAAAAGAGGATAGAGGAAAGGAGAAATGCCGCTATAAAAAGGCCTATCCATAGTCTCCAACACAGCATCTCCATCCCCCAGAATCCAACGAAATGTAGAGAGTAAAGAAAAAAGAAAAATCCATAGCCTTTCTCCCCCCCCCCTTTTAAAAATCAGATCCCCGCCTAAATCGCGCATAAATCCACTTCTTTTCAAGTCGTCAAATCACCCCTCTTCCCCCCTCCCCTCCCCTCTTTCCCTCCCTTTCCAACTCCCCCCACCCAATCGGCGATCTGGCTCCCTCCTCCCTCCCTCCCTGCCTCCCTCCCCTCCCCAACCCCCTCCTTCTCTCCCTCCCCTCCCCAACCCCCTCCCCTGCCTTCCTCGCCTCCCCGATCTCTCCCCAATCCCCCACCATTGAGCCTCGTTCGGGGTAATCCACCTCACAACGTCGGCGGATTATAAGGAGGATTCGCCCGCATGCCAAGATGTCTCGGGGCCGCGACGCCCAGCGCTTCACTTGCCGTCGAGGAGGAGGAGGGGGAGGGAGGAGGAGGAGGAGGAGGAGGAGGAGGAGGAGGAGGAGGAGGAGGAGGAGGAGGAGGGGGAAGGGAGAGGGAAGGAAGGGGAGAATAAGGGAAAAGGAGGGAAAGGGAGTGAGTGCGTGAGTGAGTGAGTGAGTGAGAGAGAGAGAAGTGAGTGAGTGAGTGAGAGAGAGAGAGAGAGAGAGAGAGAGAGAGAGAGAGAGAGAGAGAGAGAGAGAGAGAGAGAGAGAGAGAGAGAGAGAGAGAGAGGGAGAGAGAGACAGACAGAGAGAAAGAAAAAAAAAGTAATTTCCACCAGATCTCAACACAGCCGCTCACCAAAATACACTAATGCCTCAACAGATGCTGCAATTGTACGAAAAAAAATTATGATACCCACTTCCCCGATCCCGGTCGGATAAAGTGAAGGTGCCAGGGTTAAATGTCTTCTAATCCAAAGTAAATCCTGAAATAATCCAGAGTAATCCTACACGTGCCCCCCTTCGTAACCGAGCCTGCTGCCCCCCCCCCCACCCCTTCCCAGTCTCCGTCGTCCCTCCTCCCTCGTCCTCTCCTTCTCTCTTCCGCCCTTCACTCTTCCTCTTCCTCTCCCTGCCGGCCTTTTCCTCGTCTTTTCCTCGCCCTTCTCTCTCCCTCCCCCCTCTCCTTCTCCCCTCTCCTTCCCCCTCTCCCTGCCGCCCCTCCACCCACTCCCCTGCCCGTTTCTTCCACCTCAAACCCCCCTCATACTGCTCATCCCACGCTAGTTTTAGTGGAAGTTGATGTTGATTGAAGTTGAAGTTTAATATAGCCTTGGGAGTAGATGGGGGGTGGGGGAAGAGGAGGAGGAGGAGGAGGAGGAGGAGGAGGAGGAGGAGGAGGAGGAGGAGGAGGAGGAGGAGGAGGAGGAGGACTAGGAGGAAGACGAAGACGAAGACGAAGAAGAAGAAGAAGAAGAGAGAGAGAGAGAGAGAGAGAGAGAGAGAGGGAGAGAGAGAGAGAGAGAGAGAGAGAGAGAGAGAGAGAGAGAGAGAGAGAGAGAGAGAGAGAGAGAGAGAGAGAGAGAGAGCTAGGCTGCGAGAGGTCAACGTC